AGTGGCACCCTGACAGGCAGCTCAGACAATAGAGTAGAGGTCCCTGAAAAGGTCAAGCTTACCTGACCCCGTTCCCAGGTTGCTGAGGTGGTACAATTGCATCATGATTCTCATATGCAGCAGAGTGCCAGTACTAGTGCCGCTCTACCTTTTGGTGAACTGGCAAAGACCAGTGACCTAGTACATCCTGGTCTTTTACATACCGGCACTGCAGTATCACTTGGTGACGCTGCAAGTCTCATAAATGCACTACACGCTTGTGTGGTGGCTAGCAAAAGTAGTGTCCCACGGCCACCAAGAACTGGAACACAGGCACGTAGAGCCCATAGAGTCTTTCTGGATGTGCTTACAAATCCTGATTGGCAGCCCACAAATTCTGCAGCACTTGTACTTTCCCCATTCACTGCCCAACCCGGAATTCAGGTGGAAACAGCAAATTGAACTACTCCCCTTGATTTTATGGAGTTGTTATTCACAAAAAGATCTGTATGGATTTATTGTGGATTAAAGCAATATATATGCACAACAATTTATCACCGCCAACCCAAATTCAAACCTTGCCAGACCATTTGCATGGAAATCTATTATGGTTTCTACATGGGAAGTAGTGGCAAGACAGTTTGGGACTTGGTGTCATCCTTTTTCCATATGGGGTACCACTTATATGTGGACAATCTTGGAATTGGAGCATGTGGCACCGTGCTTCCCCCAACAGCTTGTAAATACCCATCTTAGAAAGGGGGAAAAAGCCTGCTTGAAAAATTATGAATTGCTCACAGTGAAGTGGAAGGACAAACGGGATGTTTTTGTCCTGTCTTCCATTCACGCAGATGCGACAAATTTCCACGGCAGCTGGTGTTGTTGAGAAACCCCTCTGTGTCCATGACTATAACCTTAACATGGGAGGGGTGGACTTCAATGACCAGATGAGGAAGCCGTACTTAGTTTCCCGAAAAGCCAGACGCTGGTACAAAAAAGTGTCTGTTTATTTATTTCAATTGGCTCTATATAACGCTTTTGTGCTTTACAAAGCAACTGGACAAAATGGACCCTTCCTAAAATTCCAGGAAGAGATCATCACAGCCCTTTCGTATCCAGAATGCTTCCATCCAAAGCTACCATCGTTACCACGCACTAGTGGACTATTAGTATAGGGTACAGCATGGTACAGTCTAGGGCACATATATGCACAGGGTCTTGAAAGATGTTAGGTAGTCAGGAAACTGGCTTTTGCATTTTGAGAGATCCTGCCATCTGGAAGTTAAAAAAAAAAGTTAGAAAAAAAATACTAAAAAAAAGTTCTTTGCAGGAATGTCATTCAGCTGCAGCACCAATCTGTTTATTCTGACATCAACAAGGTCTTGCTTTCAGAATTTACATAAGTGTGTGCAGCTCTGTTAGATGAGATTTTTCATCAGTTCATTCAGTTAAAAAAGAGCATATGTGCCCAAGCATTGAGGGCTTGGGGTGGCCAGTGGGTGCATCGCCCCCATGCTTCAGTATGTGTGTGTATATATATATATATATTTTTTTTGGCACATATTTCAATAAAAAGATGTTTTATTGAGTTACTGTTTTATTGCTACTGTTTTATTGTTAACCGTTGCTGTTTTCTTTTCAGGAATGCCATTTAGCTGCAGCACCGATCTGTTTATTCTGACAGCAATAGCATCTTGCTCTCAGAATATATGTGCATGCAGTGCTGTTGGATGATATTTTTAATCCGCAGTTAAAAAAGAGCATATATGTCCAAGCATGGGGGCCTGGGGTGGCCAGTGAGTGAATCGCCCGTATGACTTGGCATATATTTAAAAAAAAATGTATTTGGCAGAGATTTCTGCACCCACATCGATCGATCAATCGAATAGAGGAATCTGTTGGGCTCTCTTTTTTTGTTCAGCCCATGGGCTGAATGAAAAAAAGAGAACATTTCATGTGTGCCCACCATTAGAAGTGGGTGGATGAAGGGCGGTATACTCTAATGGTGAGTATACCACACACTTTTTCTGGCAGAGATTTCTTCTCTTTTTCTCATTCAGCCCACTGGCTACATAAAAAAAAAACCCATAGCATATATACCCAACAAGGACCAGTGACGTACTGGTACATCACTGGAATTTGAGTGGTTATACCAGGATAATGCCTGCAGCTGCAGGCATTATCCTGGTATTGTGTTTTTTTCAACCGGCGACCGGCTTTCATGTAAAAGCAATCCTAGTGGTTAATTAGCTGCAGGATTGCTTTTACAAGCAGTGGGAGAAGAGCCCCCCCCCGCCTTCCTGCCAGTCCCATGCCATCGGGGGAACCTGAGAATGCAGCCGGTGTTTCTGCCAGCTGACCACGGAGCTTATTGGAGACCATAATGGTGCCAATCACCTCTATAGTCTAAGAAAACAGAAGCTACGAGCATTTCATCATTTCAGTTTTGCATGATATAAACAGCGCCACTTTTAAATCGGGAAAGCATCTGATCACACCAATATTGATGAGATCACATGATGTAAGAGAAGAGGAGATATCTAGAGTCTAACAGACCCTAGATTTCTCAGATGCTGTCACAGGGAATATTTACATTCCCGGTGATAACAATAAGAGTGACCGAAAAAAAATATGAAAAGGACAGTGTAAAAAAAAAAACAAAAAAACAAAATTAATAAAAAATATCAAAGCATCCTTGCCACTGCCGCGCAAGCGCAACTGTGTGGGCAACTGTTGGGCACATGTTGGTTTGTAAACAGCGGTTGCACCATGCATGTGAGCAGGGGTGGACTGACAACTCATGGGGCCCCCGGGCAATAGGGGATCATGGGGCCCCTGTGTCCTTGCCCAAACTCAAAAAAGCCTATGAAAAAGGTACCAGGGGCATCTCATGGGGCCCCCTACTGACCCCGGGCCCTCGGGCAGTGCCTGAGTTTCCAAATGGTCAGTCCCCCCCTGTTATGTTAGAAGTATTGCTGTGACTGTCAGATCATCAGAGAGAGTATGTGAGCGTGGGTGTGTGTCCCTTGTCCGTTCCGATGGTCTTTTATGAGGCAAATGTACGTCATAGTTAGTGATCATAATACCTTCTATGGAAAGTATTACTGCTTAGCAAAGCCAATTCATAAAAGGGAAAGATGCTATACATATGGCAGTAATTATAGCACTAGAGCTTTTATTGTAAATCTAAAATCGTAAATACTAGCAAGCTGTAAAGCCGCTTATAAAAGTCATGTGCCTACTGTCAATATTTCTACAAATGTAAATGCAGTTTGTCGCCATTGCACGGGGTGTGCGCAGTTTTAAAGCATGTTTGGTATCTATTTACTCGACATACCATCATCTTTTATATTTTACCAAACAATTGGCCAATATATTGTGCTTTTGTGCACACAAAAATTACACAAAGTTGTCATTTAAATGATATATTGCTCACACATGCCATGGGTATATGTGTAATTACTCCCCAAAATACATTCTGCTACTTTTCCCGAGTATGGGGATACCACATGTGAGAGACTTTTTGGCAGTCTAGCTGCATACAGGACCCCAAAATCCAGCAAGCACCTTCAGGCTTTTAAAGGGCGTTATTTTCTCATTACACTTCCTGAATACCTATCACAGTTTTGGAGATCCTGTAATGCCAGAATAGCACAACTCCCCCCCCCCCCCCAATAACCCCTTTTTGGAAAATGAAGAAAAAATAAAAACATATGTTTTCTTTTCTTTTTTTCTTTTTCAAAACCTTGTGAGAAAAAATGCAAATACTCCCATGCCTCTTATTAAATTCCTTGGGGTGTCTACTTTCCAAAAAGGAAGGGGGGTTGTGTTTATCTGGAATTTCAGAGCCTCTGAAACTGTGATAGTGAGGAAGTGAAATAAGGAATTTATGCACCAACAGGCTTTCAAAGGGGTCATTGGATTTCGGACTCCTGTATGTGACTAGGCTCACAAAAAGTCTCACACATGTGGTATCCCCATACTCAGGAGAAGTAGCAGAATATATTTGGGTTGTAATTCCAAATATACCCATGGCAAGTGTGAGCAATATACCATTTAAATGCCAACTTTGTATAAAAGAAAAAAAAAGTTGTAATTTTCCAAAAACCTGTGGAAAAAATTTTTTTTTTCCATGAACTCAATGTATCTCGCAGCAGATAACTTAGGGTGTCTACTTTCTGAAAAAGGGTCATTTGGAGGTGTTTGTACTGACCTGGCATTTCAGCACCTCAAGAAATGTGATAGCCAATTAGAAAGTAAAAGCTGTGTAAATTCCAGTATCTATACCATAGTTTGTAGACGCTATAACTTTCACCACACAAACCAATTAGTATACACTTATTGGGATTTTTTTTACCAAATACATATAGTAAAATGCATTTTAGCCTAAATTTATGAGGATATTCAAGTTTAATGGATATTTATTATAACAGAAATGAGAAAATATAGTTTTTTTCAAACTTTTCAGTCTTTTTTTGTTTATAGCGCAAAAAATAAAAAACCCAGAGGTAATAAAATACCACCAAAAGAAAGATCTATTTGTGTGAAAAAAAAGGACATATTTAATTAATGTACAGTATTGCATGACCGCACAAAAATTGTCAGTTAAACTAGCGCAGCACTGTATAGCAAAAAATGGCGTAAATTCCAGTATCTTTACCATAGTTTGTAGATGCTATAACTTTCACACAAACCAATTAATATACACCCTTTGGATTTTTTTTTTTTTTTACCCAAGTCATACAGCAAAATACATTTTGGCCTAAATTTATGACGAAATTTGTGTCTATAGGATATTTTTTATAAATGAGAAAATATCGTTTTTCTTCAAAATTTGTGGTCCTTTTTTGTTTACAGTGCCAAAAATAAAAAACCCAGGAGGTGATCAAATACCACCAAAAGAGAGCTCTATAAAAGGACATACATTTCTTTTGGGTACAGCATTGCATGATCGTGCAATTACCAGTTGAAATAGCGCAGAAATGTCAGGGCAGGAGCGGTGGAATGGGCAGGCAGGCCTAATGGTAGTGTCACGCAGCGACTGACGACAGCCGCTACTCACAGACCAGAGTCCCTCAGGGCGCGGAGTCTAAGCCCCAGGCTGCCCTTCACCAGGGCCCCTGATGGTGGGGATGGACTTGACACAGCCTGAGACCAGGTCGCGGCCCCCGAGTAACCCCAGCTGCGGTAACGACTGCAGCCAATGGAGTACAGCTGGTGGGAGCCAGATGGAAAACGTATAGCGTGGTCAGACAGGCCGGGTCGATAACAATGGAGCAAACAGTACAAGACGGTAGACAAAGAATACTCAGGTCACGGGCCGGGTTCAGCAACGGGAGGTCAGGTAATGGGATAAAACAGCAGAGAATAGTCTTGTCCAAGCCGAGTCGGTTACCAGGAGAGCAACGAGAACAGAACAAGAATAAGAAGACAGATAAAACCAAGCGCTAGGTGTCTACAAAGGAAGAAAGGCTAGCAGCTGACATAGGAAGTAAACCTCTGGAACTTCAAGTGGTAAATAGACTATAAAAATATGCAGCACTCAGTGCCAAAATTTGTAGACATAAATAAGTAAATACAATGATTATAGCTCAAATATGAAAAACTTGTAGGTTAACATAGCATGTAGATCATACAGGGCAAACGTGACTTCTGTGATGTATTGGCAAAAGATAGACTGGAATGCTCGTGACTCTTGTGGTAATTGTACTGAGTATAGGTTGCACTAACCAGATGCATAAGCAGAGAAGCGTGAGTAATTAAGACCTACTCCTAGTACTCTGGATAAAGGGGGCCCCCCTTTGAAAACGTGCACAGCACACAAAAACGGGTCAGGGAGGTGCCAGCCAGATATCTTGACATACCGCATGGCTATTGATGGACGGCCGTCGGCATTTTATATCAAAAATTCTGTAAGTGTATTTTCATTTTTATGTTTACTGCATCAATAAACCTACTACACTATCAAAGCTTCTGGCCTGGGGCTCTTGACACAGCTGTTATTGAGGGAGCCCGGGCTTTTTGAAGGTGTTAACATCTAAATCCAATCCATACTGCTGGCTGATGAACAGATAATACCTCCATTGGCTGATGTTGATATCCGAGGAATCCTGTCCTTTTTTGGCCTGGGAGATATGACAGTCTAGTGGCAAGATTTAAGATGACAACTACCTATCCAGTGGGCCGGGTTATATCCAGAGTACTAGGAGTAGGTCTTAATTACTCCATGCTTCATCTGCTTATGCATCTGGTTAGTGCAACCTATACTCAGTACAATTACCACAAGAGTCACGAGCATTCCAGTCTATCGTTTGCTGATACATCACAGAAGTCACGTTTACCCTGTATGATCTACATGCTATGCTAACCTACAAGTTTTTCATATTTGAGCTATAATCATTGTATTTACTTATTTATGTCTAATTTTGGCACTGAGCGCTACATATTTTTATCGTCTGAGAACAGAACAAGAGTTTGCTGCAAAGGAACAAACAGGACACGAATGCAAAGAGCAAGTGCAGACAGCAGGCTTAAATGTGATCAGCCACACCCTTCTGGAGGAGGAGCCGCAGAGGCCTGAAAGCATAAAGACTCTCACCATGCTTTGCAGGAACTTAGGATGGATGCCAGCACAAGGAGCAACACAGTCTCTGAGGAAAGGTAGGACCTTGACAGTACCTCCTCCTCAAGGACCCCTCCGCGGCTCCACAAAAGGCTTCTGAGGAAATCGGGCATGAAAAGCGCGGAGGAGGGCAGGAGCATGAACATCCGCGGAAGGAACCCAGGAACGCTCCTCGGGACCATAACCACGCCAATGGACCAGGAACTGCACCCGACCGTGGACCAACCGAGAGTCCAGGATGCGGCTCACCTCATACTCCTCATGACCGTCAACCCGGATAGGACAAGGTCGAGGCGGAGAGAGGCAGTAAAGCGATTACAGACCCGAGGCTTCAACAGGGATACGAAGACATTGGAAATTCGCATCCCAGGAGGAAGAGCAAGGGCATAGGCAACCGGGTTCACCCTGCGGAGGATGCGGAAAGGACCAACAAAACGGGGAGCCAGTTTCGGTGCGGGCACCCAAAGATTGAGGTTGCGAGTGGACAACCACACCCGATCTCCGACCTGGTATGAAGGAGCGGGCAACCGTCTCCGATCAGCCTGGAGCTTCTGGCGCTGTGCTGAGTCCTTCAAGGACCTCTGGATTGCCAGATGGTTATCGACAGCTGGAATGTCCTGTGGCGAGAACAACTCAGGCAATACCGCGGGTTGGAACCCATAGTTGGCCATGAAGGGGGACATCCCGGAGGAGTTGACAGCTGAATTCCTTACAAACTCTGCCCATGGCAGGAAATCGACCCAATTGTCTTAATGGTCTGATATATAGCAGCAAAGAAATTGTTCCAGGGCCTGATTGGAACGCTCCGCAGCCCCATTGGACTGCGGGTGGTGGCCGAAGAGAAGGAGAGCTTGATACTCAACTGGGAGCAGAAGGCGCACCAGAACCTGGACACAAACTGGCTCCCACAGTCCGAGACAATCACCTTGGGCAACCCATGTAAGCGAAAGATCTCCCTGGCGAAAACCGTAGCCAGTTCTCGCGCAGTTGGCAATTTCTTGAACGGAACGCAATGGCACATCTTGGAAAAACGATCAATCACCATAAGAATGACCGTATGGCCTTGAGACGCCGGGAGGTCCACAATAAAATCCATGCCTAGGTGTGACCAGGGACGCTCCCCATTGGGAATGGGTTGCAGAAGACCCAATGGAAGATGCCGAGGAGATTTATTCTGGGCACAGACCAAACATGCCGCTACATATGAGGCGATGTCGGAACAGACAGATGGCCAAAAGAATGACCGAGAGACGACCCAGGACAACTGGTTCCTACCTGGATAGCTGGCAGCCTTGGAATTATGGTAGGCACATAGCAAGTGGGTGCGCAATCCCTCAGGTACGAAACATCTTCCAGCCGGTCTCTCAGGAGGAGCATCAGTTTGAGCCGCCAAAATCTGCTCCCCAAGGGGAGAAGTCAGGTTGGTACGAATGGCAGCCAGAATCTGGTCTGGAGGTATGACCGAGGTCGGCTCAGAGTCCTCCCTGGACAGCTCAGAGTATTGCCGTGACAAGGCATCAGCCCTGACATTCTTGGAGCCAGGTAAATAGGAGACCACATAGTTGAAACGTGACAAGAACAGAGCCCATCTGGCCTGACGGGGCATCAACCTCTTAGCCTCCGAGATACGTCAAGTTCTTGTGATCAGTGAGAATGAGAACCGGAACCACAGCACACCTCGAGCAGGTGCCTCCATTCCTTGAGAGCCTGAATAATGGCCAACAACTGCCTGTCTCCAATCTGGTAGTTGCATTCTGCGGAGGAAAGCTTCCTGGAGTAGAACCCACAGGGAAGTAGGGGTCCATCGGGTGACCGACACTGAGACAAGAGGGTGCCTACTCCCGTCTCAGATGCATCAACCTCGAGGACAAAAGGCAACCCAGGATTGGGATGAGACAGTATCGGAGCTGAAGCGAAGGTGGATTTCAGAGCTTCGAAAGCTAAGATGGCCTCGGGTGACCACTTGTGAGGATTACTACCCTTCTTGGTCAGATCTGAGAGAAGTTTGGCCAGCGTGAAGAAGTTCCTGATAAATTTCCGATAATAGTTGGCGAATCCCAAAAAGCGCTGAATGGACCGAAGACCACTGGGACGAGGCCACTGCAGAACCGCCGAAACCTTCTGAGGGTCCATGGAAAAACCCCACCGCGAAAATTATGTAGCCCAAAAAGGCAACCTGGGATGGGTGAAATTCACACTTCTCGAGCTTACAAAAAAGCTCATTCTCACGCAACCGTTGCAGCACCCCTTAACATCCTGGATATGAGACTCCATAGACGCAGAGTAAACCAGGATGTCGTCCAAGTAAACACCACACACTGTTGCAACAAGTCACGAAAGACCTCATTAATGAACTCCTGAAAGACCACGGGCGCGTTACACAACCCGAAAGGCATAACCAGGTATTCATAGTGACCGGTTCTGATGTTGAACGCGGTTTCCACTCGTCGCCCTCCTTGATCTGTACGAGGTTGTACGCCGCCCTAAGATCGAGTTTAGTAAAGACCGTTGCTACCTTGAGGCGGTCAAACAACTCAGTAATCAACGGAATTGGATAAGCATTCTTAATCGTGATTCGATTGAGGCCCCTAAAATCAATGCAAGGTCTCAACTCTCCATCCTTCTTCTTCACAAAAAAAAAACCCAGCTCCTTCTGGAGAAGTAGAATTGCGAATGTGCCCCCGGGAAAGCACATCCACAACGTACTCCTCCATGGCCTGATTCTCTGCAACCGAAAGAGGATACACCCTACCACGCGGAGGAGTGGCACCGGGTTGTAAGGCTATGCACAATCGTACGGACGATGAGGAGGCAGAGCACCGGCGCGCACCTTGTCAAATATGTCCAGGTACTCCCCATATTCAGTGGGCAACACAGAGTCTGAGGAGGCGCACAACATCTTAACAGGCCCACGGATACAACCAGCCCCACACTGTGGCGACCATGAGAGAATTTTGGCCGTCCGGCAATCAAAGGTCGGATTGTGCTTCTGAAGCCAGGGATAGCCCAAAACCATGGAATAGTGCGGGGGAAGAAATTACCTGGAGACAGGCCATCTCCCTGTGAACAGCCCCAACAGCTACTTCAACCGGCAGGGTCTCGTGGGTAACCTGCGACGGTTGCAGGGGCCTGCCATCTATCGCTTGGAGGACCAATGGAGTAACTCAAGCCTGCAGAGGAATGGAGTACTGGGCAGCAAACGCACTGTCCATAAAAAACCCGCCAGCACCAGAGTCTACCAACGCCTGGGCCGTCACCGAGCCTCCCGCCCAGGAGACGACAACGGAGATTAGCGGTTTATCTTTACGGGAAATCGGGGACGAGGAAACTCCACCCAAGATCTGCCCCCGACAGGATCTCAGGTGCGAGCGTTTCCCGGACGGACCGAACAGGACTGCCGAAAATGCCCACCGAGACCACAGTACAGGCAATGACCCTCCCGATGCCATGAGGCCCGCTCCCCCCCGGAAAGGCAAGCAAATCCCAGCTGCATGGGCTCACTACCAGACAATCCATCCCCAGGAGGCGTGGGAGGAGAGGGAGGCAAGCGTGGGACAGAAAACATAGGCGCCAATCGGTTAGGAGGCCTCCACAGATGCTCCTTAAATGAAGGCCTCTCTCTGAGCCTGATGTCAATCAAGATTAGGAAGGAAATGAGTGCCTCTAGCTCCACAGGCAGTTCTTTGGCTGCGATCTCGTCCTTCAACGCATCTGAGAGACCATGAGAGAAAGCAGCCACCAGAGCCTCATTGTTCCAACCCACCTCTGCCGTAAGGTACGAAATTCTATGGCGTACTCGGCAACGGTTCGTGAACCCTGATGCATGGACATGAGCAGCTTGGCAGCAGAGGCGGAGCGAGCAGGTACATCGAATACCGTGCGTAAGAAGGCAATGAAATGGGCAAACTCGTGGATAACCGGGTCATTCCTCTCCCATAAGGGATTAGCTCAGGCCAAGGCCTTATCTGAGAGTAGCCAGATTAGGAAGCCCACCTTTGACCTCTCAGTAGGGAAAGCGTGGGGTATTAACTCAAAGTAAATGCCCACTTGGTTAAGGAAACCACGACACTGACTCGGCTCACCCCCAAAGCACTGGGGAAGAGGGGCAGAACCAGTCATACCTCTGGGCACCGTGGGTTCAGCAACAGATGCGGAGGTAGGCGCGACAACCAAAGCAGCAGTTGGTGCATCCACCGGAGTAAGCACCGACCTAATAGCCCCAGGAGTAAGGTGCGCTGTGCGTGCTAGCAGAGCCTGCAATGCCTGAGCGAACTGATCCAACAAGAGGTCCTGTTGATCAAGTCTGGCGAGTAACATAGGGAACACAGGCATACCTGCACCATCAGGATTCATGGCATTCGTGTAATGTCAGGGCAGGAGCGGTGGAATGGGCAGGCAGGCCTAATGGTAGGGTCACGCAGCGACTGAAGACAGCCGCTACTCACAGACCAGAGTCCCTCAGGGTGCGGAGTCTAAGCCCCAGGCTGCCCTTCACCAGGGCCCCTGATGGTAGGGATGGACTTGACGCAGCCTGAGACCAGGTCGCGGCCCCCGAGTAACCCCAGCTGCGGTAACGACTGCCGCCAATGGTGTACAGCTGGTGGGAGCCAGATGGAAAATGTATAGCGTGGTCGGACAGGCCGGGTCGATAAAAACGGAGCAAACAGTACAAGACGGTAGACAAGAATACTCAGGTCACGGTCCGGGTTCAGCAACGGGAGGTCAGGTAATGGGATAAAGCAGAGAATAGTCTTGTCCAAGCCGAGTCGGTTACCAGGAGAGCAACAAGAACAGAACAAGAGCTTGCTGCAAAGGAACATACAGGACACGAATGCAAAGAGCAAGTGCAGACAGCAGGCTTAAATGTGATCAGCCACACCCTTCTGGAGGAGGAGCCGCAGAGGCCTGAAAGCATAAAGACTCCCACCATGCTTTGCAGGAACTTAAGATGGATGCCAGCACATGGAGCAACACAGTCTCTGAGGAAAGGTAGGACCTTGACAAGAAATGAATAGCAAAAAATGGCCTGGTAGGAAGGGGGGCAAATCCTCTGGAGGGCAAGTGGTTAATACTGTAAAGTCTGTCCAATCTGATAAAAACTACAAGACTGGATTTATCATTATTATTATATAGCGCCAACAGTTTGCGCGGCGCTTTACAATATAAGGGAGACAGTACAATTACAATACATTTCAGTACAGAAGGAATGTGAGGGCCCTGCTCCTGGAGCTTACAATCTAAAGGAAGGGGGAGGTGATACAAAAGGTTATAGTTGCAGGGGATGATCTGGTGGAGGTGATTCAAGTACAGTTCTTAGGTGGAGGTGGGGTATTTAGACCTGTTCATTGAAGAAAGAGAAGTAAAATATGCACTACTGTAGTGTATGGTAACTAACAAAACATGGTGTGGTGACATTACATTTATATTCCACCCCAAGGCACCTTACCAATGCACCAAAAGCAGTGAACCACAACTCCATTAGTGCATTAGGGCACGCTGCTTAAAAGAAAAACTGTGGGCATGTTAAAAGGTCCATGGCTGCCAGTTCATTTAAAGTCAATGGGCTACATTACCATAATGTACACATAAGGCATTGCACTAAATGTGTAAATTAGGCTCAAATCTAAACATATACTGCCAGTCATTTAGATGATCCTCCCTAAAAAAAAGAAACAAAATGTTCATATATTTGTTTGAACATGCCACCCAAACCAAAGAACCACATACTATAGGCATAATCTTTAGTTTTGGAAGTTAATAAATACTTGTCACATGACATAGGACTTCATAGGTATCATATGATCAGTGGTTCTTAAAAGAGCCATAAAATAGTCCAAGCAGATCTTCTTGCAGGTATTATTATTATACAGGATTTATATAGCGCCAACAGTTTGCTCAGCACTTTACAATATAACGGGAGACAATACAGCAACAATACAAGAGGGATAGGAGGGCTCTGCTCCTTGGAGCTTACAATCTAGGTACAATTTACTATGCAGGTATTCCTGGTCAGCAAAAACCCTATTAAAATGGTGACGCAATAGCACTTCACACCTTTACAATGGCTCTGAGCCCCCATGATGAATGAATCATGATAAAGTTTTCTTTTATTAGCTGGACTGTTGACATGCTCCATGGCTTACTTCATTCAATAGGAAACAATTTCTAGTGAAATATAATTGTCCTAATAGGTATTATCTGACAGGGATCTTAATCAATCCATAATTATCCAAAACTAAAAGAAAAATCATGTTTTGATTTTATTTACGATTTAAAACAATTTCCAGTATTACTATGTTTAATACACTTGCTCCTCCATAGTTTTGGTACTGTATTAAATATAAAAAATATCTAAACAGGCCACTAAAGGGAGCTCTTAGTGGCTCAGTGCAGTTACACTGCCTTAACCATTGTTGCCAATGCAGCAAGCAGAGCCTGCATACGTAATTAGCAGGTACGGCTGACCCCATTACAAATTATACAGAAAAACATGCTTTTAAAACATTAAAACACACACTAATAAAAATTAGTTGACCTTTCTTACCAGTTTATCTAAAATAGTATTTTAAAATACTTCACAATTTTAAACATCCATACATTCCCTTTAATAATTATAATTACTGTAATAAGATTTCCGTTTAGATCTTTTCATAAACGTATTTGATGTGTTGCTTCAGAATTCTAACATGAAAGAATTAAACATACTGGATTTCTGAATGTATTTCACATTGTGTAATGGAAACAGGATTAGGGAGGAGGCATCATGCTGCCACTGAAATGGTCCTGTCAGCTTATCTAAAACTGTTAAAGCACGAGTGTAGAAACAGCCCTCATTCCAAACGAGGTCCTGTCACAAGCAATATTTATACAACACCCAGTTATTACAGCTTCCCCTGCTCCTGGTAGCCGCAAGTAATTTATGACCCTAGCCCAGGAATATGATTACAGTATGCGCTGGGTATGCACATGCCAGACTTTATATTTTCCATTAGAAATCTGCTTATTCTTCAGAGATAACAGAACATGTAACATCTATAAACTACCAGTAGCTAATATTTGCAAACTAATGGGTCAGTTTAAAAATACCCTTATGCCGCTGGCAAAAAAAAAAGAGCAGACTGTTGTAAAAATATATGTGAGAGAAAATTCATTTGGAAAGCAATCCCTAGCTTACTGAGGTTTTTTTTACATGGTGGAAATATTCCCATGATGCATAGACTGTTTTATGCAAGACTTTAGGGGAACACTGAGGTCTTCTGTTGGTGTTCACCCCATGTTATTAAAGTGGTTGTAAAGGCTCAATGTTTTTTACCTTCATGCTCTCTATTCATGAAAGTAAAAAACATTCTGTGTGCAGCTCTCCCCCAGCACCCCTATTACTTACCTGAGCCCCATTATGAACTGGCAATGAGCAGAAGAGCCTCGGCTCTCTGGGAACTCTTCCTCCTCATTGGCTAAGACAGCAGCGGGAGCCATTGGTTTCCGCTGCTGTCAATGACAGCCAGTGAAACAATGAGGGAAAAGAGGGGGTGGTGCACCAAGCTCTGTGTGTGAATGGCCACATAGAGCAGCAGCTCAAGAGCGAGCTTGCTCGGGTGCCCCCACAGCAGGCTGCTTACTCTGGGGGCACTCAACAGGAGGGAAGGGCCAAAAGTGCCAGCAGAGGACCTAAAAAGAGGAAAATTGGGGCTGTTCTGTGCAAAAAGCAGTTAATTATGACATTTAATAGCACTTTAAAGTGGTTCTAAAGTCAAAACATTTTTTAACTTTAATGCATTTCCACAAAAAATAATAAATGCACATTTTTTGTCGGTAAAAAAAATGTGCATCTATTATTTTTTGTGCTAGGAGCCTGTAAAGCATTGCACTAGCGATTAGCAGATCGCTGATGCCATGTAGGTCTCCTGCACACTGTAAGTGTATCTGCTTCCTTGTACATCCCGTACAGGCAAGCTGATGATACTTGTTGACAGGAAGAATCCGTGAACTTCCATGGCACTCCACAGTGCAGTTGTAGTTCATTGAGGACTACAAGCCAACAGGTGCAAAGGTTGTCAGGACTTGCAGTCCATTCATTCACAGAACACTGAAAATGAATGAAGCGGCCATTTGGGTGGAGCCCAGCACAGCCACACTGTTTTTTAAATCCGACAGCTAGTACAGGGAACTTTCCCGTACTGCTGTCACAGAGAGGGGGGCAGTGGGCAGGTGCAGGATCGAGAACATGTTGTCTGTTCCACCCTAAAAATGGGTGGATCATGTAACATGTTCCCAAAGGTGAATTTATCCTTTAAGGTAAAAAATGTTTAGGCATCCATTTTGGCTCCTTATCCCCCTTTTACATAATTGAGCCCTCATTTGATCCAGCACTGTGCAGGTCTGCAGCTCCTCTCTTCCCTCACTTCCATGTCTCACTGGTATTGCTGTGGCATCGAGAGCCATTGGCTCTCACTGCTGCTCGCCAGTGACGAGTCCCACTGTCTGTGTCAATGGATGCAGCAGCAGGGCTTGGGACTGAGCATGCACAAGTGCCCCATGGGAAGTGGCTTCTCATGTGGGCAATGGACAGAGAGGAGGAGCTAGGAATGCTGGCAGGAGACCCAAGAAGAGGTGGTTCGGGCCGCAGGTAAGTTTACAGATGTTTGTTATTTTTTTCTTTTTAAATATTTTTTTTGTTTAAAATCTAGGTTTAGGTGTTTATAAACCATATATACAGAGTGATTTTATTCTACAGCATCAACCTATTTGTACAAGCAAATGTAAAAAAAAAAACAAAGGCACAAAAGCAAACAAAGAAAACTACATTGAGGAGTGACCAGGAGTCTTCTTCCAACTTTTTGAGATAGTAATGAGGGACACCTTCTGGCACAAAGTATCTAGGTTAAATAAAATACCCCTGCTGTATGGATCATGAAAAAGTCTATGGAAATAATTGGTTAATTTCACAAGGAACTTTTATCACCACTTTTTGTTTGCACTGCCTAGCAATCACAACTGGTATAAGTTAGCAGTTGGATGAAAACTTTAATGTCATATAAACACTTTTGGGTATTTGCCCTAAAGGTCATTTAAAAAAAACAATACTGCCCAATATGCAGTCTATATATTCTTATTTTAATTTTGAGCACTATTTTAAAGATTATAAATGTGATTACGTATTTGTATTTTATATTTGAACAACAAAATATTCTATATATCAGCTGAATACTAGCTTGAGATTCTGCAGGTGGATGTTACCCCCCAATGCCCCACAGCTGCCCCTCAGATGGAAACTGCCAAAAGAGAGGCTGCTACCATTGAAGAATACTTCAGAGGTGTATTTACTGCTTTGTGGTCTTACAACACTCAAATGGGTATTTATTTTTACTGTGTCGACTCACCGACAGTAGTTCATTATGTTAAAATTTGTAATAAGCACAAAACATATTGATCTAAAAATTGTCAATTCTATATTTCTGACAGACGCAGAACTAACAAAATCATTTCATGAAAAAAAACAATAGTGTTATAACCCGAAACCAGAAAAATATTTTAAAAATGTTTGAAACATTCCTGATTTTGTGTTTTCCTTGGTGTACATAAGAGAAAAGAGCAGTAGTTTGTACATATTTCCTTTATATATTTTAGTCAGGAATAAAAAAAATAATATTTTTACCATTTTTTTATGTTTGTCAAGTAAATATGAAGTACAAATATATGGTACATTTTAGGCAGGCTGTTCTTTTTGTGCTTATTCTTCAGCTAACCCATAGTGCTCTGGGACTTGGCTAGGTTTAGTCATAATTTGCAAGGCTTAGCCATTATGTCATAGAATGTTA